GCCACTGAAAAGTGCACGACCAATAATTCTTTTTATATTTGCAATAGCTGAAAATGATAATAAAATTTTATTGTATTTAACATCTAGGTCTCCCAAAGGGGCAAGGTACCTTATATGGCCTAGCAACGGCAATGCTTGGGGGCTAGATGGTGATGCTTAACGCACGTCGCTGAATCCCTAACCAGCTAAAGTCCAGGCAAAATGCATCTCTCTGGAGAGCTACTAAGGCGGTAATCTTTTCAGACAAAAGGAACTTCAGGACTGCTTGGAACTCTGACCACCAAGTGATGCAACACTGGACAAAATAACCATAAAAGGCAAAAAGAAAATAACGTGGGACACCACAGTGTATACTAATACGAGCAAATACACGCACGTGTGTAACAGTGAAGGGCTGCCGTCTAAAATTTCAAGTAATATTTGGGTAACAAGTAAACAAAATTTAGCTTGGGATCAAAAAATTTGGCACACATTTAATTTATATAAAATGTTCTTTGTGGCGCCACAAAACCACCCTCTGTAGTTCGCGCTGCGTGGGCAACAAATATAACTATTTTAGTAGCTTTTATGTGTATTCCCGATCTTCTGTTTAGCTGTGCTCGGCTTCTGGAAGCACTGACGGTCACAACCTTTCCATAGGATACCCACACTAACTGTCCAGATCCTCTTGTTATTACATATGTATTTAATATTTAGCAGTGTCAACTTAGGCAATAAGGCTGTAACTATTTTCTGGTTGCTGCAACCGAAATTGCATCATCACTCAGTGCACCGGCCTGTCAGTGATCCTGGCGTCCGGTTCCCTATTTTTTCCTTTGTTCCTTTGGAGAGGAATGTAAAATGTGTTGCGGTTCCATCACCTCCTGTGTGGTCCTTTGGCGCATCTATCAGCCATCTTTTTGGGAAATGTCAAAATCGTGATGACTAATAACGCTTTCCGAGAAGTTCACTTCAAAAGTTTCCGGGCTGTCTCAGGGACTGAAAAAAGTGTTTTAAAAGTAACCAAGGAAATCAGCTAAATTAAAAAGTCAACGACTTTCGCAACAAATGAGAATACCAGAAAGCTTAAACGTTGGAACGAAATTGGCCCGGCCCAGGATCTTTTCTAGCTTGTGCCAAAATGAGGGAATGCGCTCATTATTTAGAACAGATTCCCTCACGAATCTGCTTAGTGCACCGGAAAAAAAAAGCAAGGAAAATTTGAGGCGATAGGGAAAGTGGGATGATGCTGTAAGTCTCAATTACACTTTTGCCCGTTTTTAGTGGTTTTTTTTCGCAAAATTATGTTATGAAACAAGCTTCAGTCATAACAG